TCGTATGCGTATTAATAATACTAGTATGCTTGTTAGTCGTGTTGTTCTTATTGGTTTTCGTAGTAGCCATCGGATTGTGTGTATGGTGTTTGTTATTATTATCATTACTCTCCTCCTCCTCCTACTCCACCTCCTCCCCCTCCTCCTCCCCCTCCCCCTCCTCCTCCTCCTCCTCCTCCTCCTCCTCCTCCTCCCTCCCTCCTCCTCCTCCTCCTCTCCCTCCTTCTCCTCCCTCCTCCCCCCTCCCTCCTCCCTCCCTCCTCCCTCCCTCCCTCCTCCCTCCCCTCCATCCCTCCTCCCTCCTCCCTCCCTCCTCCCTCCTCCCTCCTCCCTCCTCCCTCCTCCCCCCCCCCCCCCCTCCCTCCTCCCTCCCCTCCTCCCCCCTCCCTCCCTCCCCCCCCCTTCTCCTCCTCGTCGTCGTCCTCCTCCTCCTCCTCCTCTTCCTCCTCCTCCTCCTTCTCCTCCTCCTCCTCTTCCTCCTCCTCCTCCTCCTCCTCCTCCTCCTCCTCCTCCTCCTCCTCCTCCTCCTCCGCCTCCCCCTCCTCCTCCTCCTTCTCTTCCTCCTCTTTTCCTCCTCTCTTCCCGATGCATCGGGGCCCTCGTCTGACCGATCCACATCTAGGCCTCAGACCAGCATCCGGTACTGACCGCCGAGACCTTGTCTCTTCCCTCAGGGGGGAGACCTGCCATGAGCTTCTTGAGGGCCGTTAACCCATTCCCCCCATGCGTTCTGCAAGGGGAGGAACGAGACCCCAATTGCTTCGAGGAATATGCCGCACATCGCATGCACGCGACAGCAGGGTTCCTCGGGTGCCACAAATGTGGCGCAGTGTCCACGGCCACCAGCTTAAGCGGCGCATCCCCTCTATCCTCGATAACTCTCGAGGCCTCGACAGCACGCACAGCAATCGATCCTGCGCACTCGCTTTGCGCAGGCTCCAAGACACGGCAAAGACAGCACCAGCGGCTTCCGTCGGGACCATGCCAACCATGCTCGCTAATCGTTCGCACGGGCCGAATCGGGCCAGACGCACGCGGCCGAATCGGTCTCGCCGAGTGCCGAGTCGCAACATAATCAAGACTACCCATCGCGGCCCCGACGGTGTTGATTCAGTGTGTTACACGTTTTATCAGCGCGTGAGACTTGGATCTGATCAGTCGGACTTCACTCGGAACTCTGAAACAGGCAGCAGCTCTCCTAGCCCACACGTCGGCCTGATGGTTGCCAAACCTGTCCGATCTGGAAATTCGACCCGCACCGACCGCTTCCGCGGGAAGATGCGCTTTTATCTTCCGCACCATCAGGCCACTCTCACCGAGACCTCCAACATCTCCCAGGAGAAACCAGAACATAAGCCAGAGGTGCGCCCAAGCACTGCCAAACGCAGTGGTGCGCGCAGGACCTCTGGCAGACACTCCATCATACACCAAAGCACTGTCTGTGATGGCCACAATCGGAGGGACGGCTACCTTCAACAACTACACCAGCGCGGTCAATTCCGCGCCTTCAAAGTCCCTGACGGGCCCGACACCGACTCCATTCACAACATCTAGGACCTCAAGAGGGTCAGACGTGATCGTAGCAATCGCCCATCCCGCGACCAACCCCTCCGCCCAGTCCCCCTCAAAGACCGATCCGTCAAGGTAGGCACACTGGGCTTGGATCATGCCAAGGCCCGAATGGTGGTGCCAGGCGATCTGCGGATTCGCAGGCGGCCTCCACCCTTCAGGCAACTTAGCACGGGCCCAGCGACATCTGTCCGGCAGAGTCTTGAGTCGTCCGCCCTATTCGTCAAAACACCAAACTCCACGGGCACAGGCGGACGCTCAGTGGCCACACAGGAAAAAATGCCGATGAAACAAGGTGCCCTCCGATCCGCACAACGAACACTTAGCACCCGCGGAGAAGCCAGCTTCGCACTTCCTCGCCATTGGCCGCTGACCAATGACGATGACCGATTGGAGGTAGCCCTCCCCCATCTTTCATCCCCCCCTCCACGATCCACCTCCATCCCTCCCACCCTCCCTCCTCCCTCCTCCTCCATCCCTCACCCCCCTCCATCACTCCCTAATTTGTTTCCTGCCCCGCTCAGGCGCGGCTGCGAACTCTCCAGCCACTGCAGCCAGCCCCACCAAGCCCCCGCGGCTGCCCAAACACCCCTTTTCCGCTCAGCTCTGCCGCGGGAAGGGGATCCAGCCTACGGTGACCCCGACAACGTCAGTCGCCGAGGCAGGAGGGGGACGGGGAAGAGGAGGGGGAGAGGCAGAAGGAAACGAGGGGAAAGAAGGAATAGGACGAGGAGGAAAGGAGGCGGCGGATGGGCCAGCACCTGGCCGATGCCGTACAATCGACGACGAGATCACGGGCCTGCCCTGGGCCCCACTGACACCACCGCCCACACAAATGTGAACGTAAAGCAGCGGAGGAGCAGCAGGAGGAGGAGGAGGAAGATTTTAACAAGGACGGCTACGAGGATCAGTTAAAAGGAGAGGCCAGGGACCCGTCTCGATGGTGGCCCCTGGACGCTTAGGGTGCTTCCCCTTCGCCAGAAGCTTCCAATTGTCCAGGGTGTGACGGGTGGGTCTCTCGCAGCTTTTGGACAGCCCTCGAATCTGTCCGTGGCTCGAGTAGCATTTACACTTACGACATACAGTGAGGAATGCCTCGTCACTGCACCCAAGAGAAACGCATTTATGATTGAGGTTCCGCAGGGATGTGGGGGGTGAGGCCATGCACCTGGGAGCATTCTCCAGGTGGTGGCACTGCCGTCCCTCTGCGGGCCCTATTACAATTAAGACAAAAAAATCGCGCAACCTCTGCCACTCGTGACCAGGAGGAGGGGGAAGAGCCCCAGGAGGGCCACGACGAGGGGGGCGGATCAGCTCGACCTCAGAGAGGTCAAGCTTAGGCCAGAGCGGCAACAGAGCGGCCGCTAGATCGCAAACTTGTATTGACACCTTAATTTGCCGCTGGAGCTCAGTCTCATCATTGTCCGACCAGGACGGGCGCATGTTAGCTCCAGCGCGAGCGGCGGCGGCGGCAGCGGAGTTACCGAGTCGCCGCCACCGCCCATCGAAATCTAAACCAGCTTCATGTGGGTCCAAGTGGGCTTTGGCTTTCCTGACGCCACTCACCCACTTGGACCCCTGGTGGTAAAACTGCATCATTCCTGCATTTGGCATAAAGTAGCTAAGCTGCTGTTTATGAGGCGGCTGGCTCTGCTTAGCCACATTAAGGCAATCGGAGTGTATAAAGCTAGGGCCGACCAGTTGAAGGGATGCCATAGCTAAACTCTGAAATGCACCAGCTTGGGGGGGGACCAAACGGGGGGCGGGGACGGGTCCGAACAGCCTGCCTTCGACCTCGCCTTCCGCCGGCAACTGCACAACTCCCCACCCCGCTCGTTGAAGCTCAGGAACAATATGTCTGCTACAGCTCCCATCAATGAAAACACTTCCTTGGAAATCAGCGTCCTCCCTGTTTTCATCGGCCCACTTCATGTCATGTGTTCCAGGCTTTGCTGGACGAGGGTGCTTGTCGCCTGGGTGCTCGAACAATCCTCGGCTGTACAGAAGCTGTTGGACAGGCCCCTCTGCTGCAAGAGGCTTGATCGATGTCAATCAGGCCAACGATATCCAACCGTTGTTCCTGACAGCTGTTACATCCCCACAGGAGATGGAACTCCGAGTCGTCGCATACCTGGCACAGCACACACTTAGTAGACGGAACTTGATACCCGCACTCTATCGCACGACTCGGAGTCCAGATCGCACCACAGACCAGCGATTTTACACATCCACGGCCGAGCGGGGTCGATGGCTTGGATCGGAGCTTCGCTCGCGGCACGTCGAAACATAATCGGGGGAAATCCATATTCGCCTTGCTGCTTGCATCGCGCTCTAGCGACCTAAGCACCGCACTAAACAGCAGGCCCTTGAGGAGCGCTGGGGATACATAGGTAAGAGCCACCTCCTCCTCGAATCGTTCCTCAACGTGACGAAATCTGTCATATCCCAAGAAATTCTCCTCAACGATAATTTCAGAGCCGACAGTGGGCCCTTTACCATCTTCCACTCAGTCACCTCCTCCCCCTGGTAACCAATCTCCCACGCCGTCCTCAGCTCCTGAACCGGTATACGATACGGGTAAGAGTGGGCATGAGCAGCCCAAATCTCCTTGGCGTATCGGAGGACCGGGGCCACTTCGCATCTCCAGGATGGGACATCCTCCAAAATCATAGGTGAGGTGAGCGAGCGTCCAGCCGCTTGCGGGCGCAGCACCTTGCCCGCTGACTGTCTGATTAAAAGAGCTTCTCTGTCAGAAATGCCATGCGCAGCAGCTCCGTACTCAATGCACGGTAGCGAACCAGTAACAAAAATGCGCTCAGCGTACCTGCCCAGGGTTTGTTTCATACCCCTCAATTTCCTGGTTTGCTTCCTGAACTGGTAAATTCTAATCTTGAACTTTGAGGCGCTGTTGCGGGCCCTGCGAGGTCTCCCTACCGCGTCGTCGATCCCAAGGTTCGTCGCGCTCTCGACAACAGGCCCTGCAAGCTCTCCGAGAACCCCCCTGAGTTCTTGCGCCACCTGCTTGTCGGAGCAGACAAAATTGGTTTTGTCTCTTGAAACGGAACAGCCTAACTCTGTGACGAACATCTGGTACAGGGCAGCAGAAGACTCTCTGATATTCCTAACCACCTCTTTCGCCTTGCCTACGCAGTTCAGCCCCGTGTCGTCGATATACTGATCTATATTCACAGAGGGAGGGAGTCTGGATATCAGATTATCGTGAAAGGCCTAGCATGTAGATCCTGACGACGGTGGTCGCAAAGCTACATCCTGCGATGACCCCAAGCAAAACATAATGGGGTCCAGATGCCATGGAAGAAATACAGAGGTATCTGGCACTGCGGTATGTGTTGACACACAACTGGGCGATCGCCATGGGGAAGACAAACTCCTTGCACTGGTACAGTAGCCTAATTAGCTGGAATGTCTCAAGGGAGAGAGAGAGAGAGAGAGAGAAAAAAAAAAAACAAAAAAAAGAGAGAGAGAGAGAGAGAGGGGGGCAGGGGGGGAGGAGGAGCGGGAAACGTAGAAGGATGGGATGAGGGAGGAGGAGGAGGAAGAGCAAGAGGAGGAGGAGGAGGAGGAGGCTCAGCCGGAGAAGGAGAGGGAGGAGCAGGAAGGAGGAGAAGGAGGAGGAGGAGGAGCAACAGAGGGGGGGAGGGCGAGAACGGGGATGTGAGGGTGGAGGGAAGGAGAGATGAGAGAGGGGAATGGAAAACTAAGAAGGAGGGGGGAGCAATCGGAGAGGCAGGAGGGAGAGAGAGCAAGAGAGGACGGGGATGGGAGGGCTGGGCGGGGCGGAGAGCGGCGAGGACGAACAAAAAAGGGAGGGAGTGGGCGGGGGGCCGCCGGCGCCGCGCCTGCCTCGCTCTTCCCCCAGAGCCCGCCAGGAAGGCACAGCGCAGCTGGGGGCCGAGCGGGCAGCATGGGCTCGGCTTGGCGACGAGAACTATGCACATACACCCCCGGTCAATATTAAGAAAACCATGCAATCAGAAATTTTGGGGCTGAACTGGGGAGCGGAAAAAAAAGTAGGGGCTAAATTCCGGGGCAGTTTCTTAGCCGGCCGGCGCTCTCAATGCCGTGGCGCGTCCGTTGGTTTTTGCCCACGTGCCATTGCGCGTGGCAGCGCAGGGCGCGCGGACGCACAACGGAGATGCAGACCTCTGGCTCGCCCAAGTGGCGCCGACCTCCGGCCCGCGTTGGTTTTTGCCGATGTGCGATTGCGATTGGCTGCGCCAGGGCGCGCCCCAAGACGCCAAGCGGCGGCGCCGACCTCTGGCCCGCGTCGGCTTTTGCTTATTTGCGATTGCGATTGGCCGCGCAGGGGCGCGCGCCAGGACGCCAGGCGGCGGCGCCGACCTTTGGCCCGCGTAATATTTGCGATTGCGCTTCGCCTTCCGAGAGCCCGCCCAAAGACGCCTGGCGGCCGCGCCACCCATGGCTCGTTGGCGCTGGTTTCTGATTATTTGCGATTGTGTTTCGCCTTTCCAGGGCCCGTAAGAAAGTGACAGCCCCTGGCGCGCTGAACATGGCCGCGGCACAAGAAATCCGCAGGGGCTGAAACGAAAAAACAACTTTCTTATTGAGCGCCGTGGGTGTACTTCGATCCTGGCCCGGATTCCTGGTCCCAGGATCAGTGCACATGCCTCCCTGGCCAAGCCAGGAGGGCGTATGCACCGCTCCCTGGCTCAGGATGGGCCTGGCCAGGCTCGGTGTGCGCGCATCGTACTCCCACTACCCGGGGGGCGGATAAGATGGCGCGGCAGAGCCGAGCGCCTGGCCCCGCAGCAGCAGCAAGAGCTCGCACGGAGCGCCCCGTGGCGGCCCAGGCGGCGAAGACGGCACAGCGGAACCGAGAGCGGCAGCGGAGCCGAGCGCCTGCCAGCGGCGGCGGCCAGAGCCGAGCGCCCAGCCTGGCAGCGGCAGAGCTGCCCGGCGCTGTCCCCTGCCGCCGCCGGCAGCTCTGAATGGCCCGGCTTCCTCTCCCCCCGTCGCGCCGGGGCTCCTCCTCCTCCTCCTCCTCCTCCTCCTCCTCCTCCTCCTCCTCCTCCTCCTCCTCCTCCTCCTCCTCCTCCTCCTCCTCCTCCTCCTCCCTCGGTGCATTGCGGCCTTAATTTGCATACAGCGTGTCCCCTGTTGCCATTCCGCTGGAGCAGTCGACCTCTGCCCAGCCGCCGACGCAAATAAGTGCGGGGCCCGACTCATGCGCTCCGCTCACTCCTAGATCCCTGACCTGCTGAGATCCGACGTTGCAAATCCCACATCACAAAAATACAACCGGAGCCCCGGACCCCATCTCTCTGCCATCCTTCGAGCCGGATCGCTCTGCGAGGGGCCCCACACGCGGCGGAAACGCCCGGCGTGAAAAAAAAGCAACGCCAGGCTCTCAGGGCCTGCCCTGGCGCACTGCGGGAGACGGCCGAGCTATCGGGGATAACTCTGGCCTGGGGCAACTCCGGTTTGGGCCCCCGACGCGCGAACCAGGAGTCGCCACTGACCACCCCCAGCCCCAGAAAATCTGGGTTTTACCCTCGCGCGCCGCGGGAGACGCACAGAGACCGCGCCCAGCGCCACGCCGAGACGCCTCTGCCCGCACGACTGGCGCACGGGGCCGAGCGGAGCCGCTGTGAAACGAGGCCGCCGCCGCTCAGAGCGGGGAAGAGCGCACGCGACCGTGCCGCACATGTGTCCAACGGCAGGCTGCCTCTTCCTCCTCCTCCTCCTCTTCCTCCTCCTCCTCCTCCTCCTCCTCCTCCTCCTCCTCCTCCTCCTCCTCCTCCTCCTCCTCCTCCCCCTCCTCCTCCTCCTCCTCCTCCTCCTCCTCCTCCTCCTCCTCCTCCACCTCCTCCTCCTCCTCCTCCTCCTCCTCCTGCAGCCTGTCTTCGGCGGCGCGCCCCCGCTGACCATGGCGTGCCACCAGTCGATGTCCTCTGGCAGGCGGTCTCTGCAGCGGCGGCAGGCTTGGTGGGGCAGCCCACTTTTACGTGTAGAGCCCAAAATTGAATTCTCGGAGGTCCGCGCGGATTTCGTCGATCGGCGCCGGACACCTCTCCCTGGCGTGCGGAGCGTGCCCATGCGTGCGGGGCGTGCCAGGGGCGGCGCCAGAGGCGCTGTCAGGGGGGCCTCAGCGCCGATCCAAGAAATCCGCGCGGACCTCTCCGAGAGATTATGTTTATGCAATGTTTGGCTATTCGGTTATCAGCAGGTTCGTGCCGTGACGACCTGCGCGCCGGTTGCTGACACTGCGTGGGTGGACGATCGGCGGCTTTTCCGCCCGTTAGGTCGTTCCACATTGGCCAATTTTGAGCCAATCGCGACGTTCAAATAGGTGGGATCGCCGCCACGTCGACACGACGCGAACCTGCCGTATCAGCTGTGTGGGAGGCTGGTGCAGGCATGCAAAAGATGCCTGCCCCCGATCTCTCTCTGGACCTCGGCCTCCCCTTGGAACTCGAAGGGGCAGAACTGATGGCGGAGACGTTCTTCTTTCGGGCGTGGAGACTGACGATGGGGCGCGCAATGCAGGAGCATGGAGTGATTTGCCTGAGAACCCTTAGATTCGGCCTTAACCCCACCAGCCCTCAGGGCGTGAGTGCTTTAGGGAACTTCCTCTTCCAACCCCCCTTCTTCCCCATCGGGGAGGCGCTTACCAGTATTCATTTGTTGATAAACACCCCCTCCCCCAGGCGACAAGCAGCCAACCCAGACCGACGAGACCCCCCCACACCTTCCTTCGTAAAAAAACAATACTACACGCATTTTGCCTCCGAATCTGGAGCATGCGCGGGAGCCCCGCGACCACTTTGCGTTGTTTGTTGAGAAGGACTGTGGGGGTGCCGGCATATTGTTTGCTGTGCGCAGACCGACCATCCATTCAAAAACAATACAACATACAATGTGCCTCCAAATCTGCACGCGCAGGCGCTCAGCGGCCACTCTGCATCGGTTTTTGACAGAGACGCGCCTTGCTGCCCGCGCTGCCAAGCCTGGGCCTACAGGGTGCCTGGCGCACCTGGAACTCATGGCGCACATGGCATGTGTAGCGTTCCTAGGCGGCATGCAGGGACTTGGGTGTCACTTCTGTGTTGGGAGGGCAGGTGAGAGTGAGCGAAACGGTTTGCGGGCCGAGGGGGTGTCTTGATCACTGCTTCTGATTAATATACACCCCCTCCCCCACCCGGCTGGCGTCCAACCAGGAACCATGCCGACACCATGAGGGCCCGCCCCCCACCATCCCTGACACAAGAAACAATACAAACGCACTCTGCCTCCACATTTGGAGCATGCGCGGCCAACCCGATGCGCCCCCCCAACATCCCTGTCATAAAAACAATGCAAAGTACACTTTGGGGCGAAGTCTTCAATCATGTTCGCGAGGCCAGCGAAGCGAACACTTTGTATTGCTTTCGACAAGGACGGCGGGTGGGGCAGCATATTCCCTGCCGTGCGCAGGGTGGTTACCATCCCTGACAAAAAAACATACAACATGCAGCTCGCGGCTAAATCTGGACCGTACGCGGCCATCCCGCGATCACTGTCAAATGGTTTTTGACAGGGACGGCGGGGGTGGTGGCGCGCGGCCTGCTGTGCGCAGGCCCACCAGACACAATGATGGGCATTGGTGTTCGACAAGGATGGCGGGGGCCGACATGTTCCCCGATGTGTGGTGTCACGTTCGCAGGCGCACCTGACGCACTCCGCGGGTGCCCCGAACATGGCGCACCTTCCCCCCAAACCATCCCTGTCATTAAAACAATGCAAAGTACAATTTGGGGCGAAATCTTCAATCATGTTCGCGAGGCCAGCGAACACGTTGTATTGCTTTTGACAAGGACGGCGGGGGGGCCAACATATTCCCTGCCGTGCGCAGGGCTACCATCCCTGACAAGAGCCATACACCATGCAGCTCGCGGCTCAATCTGGATCATACGCGGCCATCCCGCGATCACTGCCAGATGGTTTTTGACAGGGACGGCGGGGGTGGTGGCGCGCGCGGCCTTCTGTGCGCAAACCCACCAGACACAATGATGGGCATTGGTGTTCGACAAGGATGGCGGGGGCCGACATGTTCCCCGATGTGTGGTGTCACGTTCGCAGGCGCACCTGACGCACTCCGCGCATGCCCCGAACATGGCGCACCTTCCCCCCCAAACCATCCCTGTCATAAAAACAATGCAAAGTACACTTTGGGGCAAAGTCTTCAATCATGCTCGCGAGGCCAGCGAACACTTTGTTTTGCTTTTGACAAAGGCGGCGGGGGTGCCAACATATTCCCTGCCGTGCGCAGGGCTACCATCCCTGACAAAATCCATACAACATGCAGCTCGCGGCTAAATCTGGATTATACGGCCCAAAGACGGCCCCAAAGGTTCCCAAGGATGCCCAAATATGGCCCCAAGAGGTGCCCAGGAGGCCCCAAGAGGCCCCCAAGGGGCCCCCAGGAGGCCCCCAAGATGCTCTCGACAGCCTCCAGAGGGAGCCCCAAAACGCCGCAAGAGGCCCCCCAGGGGCACCCAAAACGCCCCAAGAGGCCTCGGCGAGGAGGCCAGCAAAATTAATTATACGAAGGCTTTGGCAACATGTTGACCTCGTGGGGGGGGCCCTGATTAAGGAGCCCACACCCTTGATCGATCTCCTCCAAGGTGGCCCTAAGGTGGCCCCAAGATGATCCATCGGCAGAGCCACTGGGGCAAACGTACGCCCCGGGGCTATCATGCATCAATCCATCTTTATCATCGTCGGAGGTTTGGGTAGCAGGCACCGCGTAGCCTCGATGGTACAGGGCGGTGCCTCTTAGCACCCATCGATATCTCTTTCTTTCGGTCTTGCTCACGAGCTCATCTTGGCGCGATGGAATTGACACTCAATGAGGAGTTCTCCTTTATCGCACCTGGAAGCACTAATGCCTTAGTCGTCTTACTCGTCTTTGGTTTAAACACAAGCGTTCTTATTAGGACTAGACTTCTTCCTCTTCGTACGAATTTTTTATTACTACGATTAGTATGTGTTCTTATGTGTTAAACTGAAGGGGTACTAGCGGACACAGGAGAGATTGGCGAAAATAGCCGGTCGATTTCGGTGGGCGGCTCTCGGTGGGCGGCTGTCGGTGGGCGCCCCCTCTCTCATTTGCGAAGGCTGATGTTTGTTCTGGGCCGTTGTGGGAACGTGTTGTGGCTCTCTTGAGTCGTGGAGGGGCCCTCTCAGGTCGTCGAGGGTACCTCCGGAGGCCCGCCTGGGTCATCTTGGGCCCCTCGTGTGCAGTCCTGGGGCAATATTGGAACCTCCTGGGCCATTTTCATCCGACGGATGCCCGAAATGGCGAAAATGCCACAAACTTTCCAACACACAAGGGCAATCAATGAGTTAGCCTTTTAGGGACCTCTTGCGACACTGCGGCCTGGCATGGTGCTTGCCAAACTTTGGGACCACCCACTGATTGGAGATTCTCTCCAGTGTAAGTACTACGATTAATAACAATCGTGCGATTCAAAATGTCATCACTCATATTGTCATTAGTGGCGCGATTAGTACCAGCACCATTGTTATCATCATTATTAATATCATTATAACTGTTGGTAGTCTTGGTAGTACAATGGGTAGGATTAGTACTGGTAAGGTTATGTCTACTGCTACGATTACTAGTACTATGCTTCTTATTATCATTAGTAGTCGTTTTAACATTATTCTTCGGTGTCAGTTCCGATCGTTGCTTCCTTGCGTCTCTGGCGATGTTCCATAGCGTCGGCTCTAGGCTGTCTTGAGTGACGCCAGAGCCGTTTCCGAAGCGAGCAGGGGTCGTTTGTATATCTGTGTACGTGTATATATATATATATACACACACTTATATATAGCATGTTGGGCAACTCCACGGGGCCAGGACGATGCTTTTTGAGAAGACCGAGGAAGGCAGACGTGAGCAGTCACACGCGACAGCAGGCTGCATGAGACTTCGACACTGCACCCACTCCCGCATGGTAAAGAATGGCCGCAGGCCGCAAATAAGAACTAGCAAAATCATGTTACTGTCTGGTCAAATTCACACACCACTGAGGCGAGCCAGGCGTCTTGACTGGATCGCGCGGGCGCTCTCGATCATCGGCGCCACTGCTGCCCGAGCGAAAACCGCTGGGTAGGCGGCAGCCAGTGCAGTGTAGCGCACGCCGCCTGGTGCGCGGCTGGCGAGGACAAGGCGGGGGCGGTTGGTTCTAGAGCAAACGCGTCCGGCAGGGCAGCAGCGATCGCACAGATGGTATCCTGGGCCGCCCCACCAAGCTGCAATTTTGGTGGGCTTCTTCCAAGGGGTGCCGCATTGGCACATGCGAGGGGCGGAAGAGGCGACTGAGGGGAGGCGAGACAAGGCCCTGAATCTCGGAGCCCCCCAAATCAATGACGTCTGGGGATTCTCCACGAAGACAGGGATCCCGAGAGATGCGCACACAGAAATGATACGGCACGAAAAATTAAAAAAAGACCTGCTCCCTATATCTAGCCTGGCTGCCTCAGGGGGGCTGAGGTAGGGCAAGCCCACGGGCGCAGATGCTGAGCGCAAAGGGCGCTGAAGCGCGCGAGCCCAGGTCGCACAAGGGGTGCCAAGCCAGGCCGCTACGACGGCCCTACTCTTGATCCACCCCATGATCTTCCTCTCAAAGGCGGCAGCTAAATGGTTCTCACACGGGCCGTCGGCTATGTCGAGACTGACGCACGCGACGCCCGCGCGTCGCAGGGCTCCCCCGATCTTACCCTGGCCAGCAAAGAGCTCGAGAAAGCAGCGACGGCGACGCCGCTGGGCGCCTCTCAAGGCTCGCGAGAACTTCTGCGATAAGTGGTTCTCGACGGCGGCTGGCGTAGCAAGTGGCGCCGGCTGGCTGGGCGATGCGCGGGGCCTCGAAACAGCCGCCGGAGGCTGCCCGGCACCTGCTCGGCCAAGG